GTAAACTCACTGTCCAGTCAATGTCTTCGCTTCTCTCACCATTAGCACCAAGGTGAAATACTTTCCTCATCTATACACTCTACATTGTGCTAGAACCACATTTTAATGTGGTTATTTGAAACTTGAGGTGACTTTACTTCTTAGAAGGCACTTGGCAGTGTCTGGAGTCAGGGTGGAAAGGAGACACAGATCTCTTAAGTAGAGACAGAAAGACTCCAATGTAGCCTACAGTGCACCTGGCCACTTGCCGCAATAACGTGTTCTTCGCTTCAACATCTCCACCGTGTCAGATTTTAGGATCTCTGTTTTGATCCCTATTTCCTCCCTAGGGAGGAACTGTCAACTATAACCCAAGCATCTATCCAGGAGAACAGGGATGCTGAAGATGATTAGTCCCATGCATCTTGCAGCCCCTCCTTTTGGTACCCAGCTTTGCCCGTGCCCAGTGATGCCCTGTATTGATGTAGTTCACACACACACACACACACACACACACACACACACACACACACACACACCCCTTTCAAAGTTCTCCCTGGAGATTGACACTGACCCAAGTTCTGACCTGAGCTGTTTTTATCAGAGCTATGGGCAGATTACTGCAAAACGAAAGGGCCTAAAATCTAGAGTTTAGCCATTTTTGAAGCTGAGTGTTGCCTCCCGAAGCAGAATGATTCCCTAAGTGGATTCCCTTTGACCGGGTTTAGAATTTCCAGGGACTTTTCCTTTGTTTCCCTATCACTAGAGCTTCAACATGCTTGTCCGGATGGGACACCATATTCCTTCTATCCCTCTGCCTGGGAATTAGCCACATGAGCTGAACAAGAAGTACCTGGGTTCTATACACCAGAAAGCGGATGACCTTGCACTTGGCCTTAGTCCCTCCCTGGTGGTGCACGTGCTCACCAGGCTCTCATCCCCGCCTGTGTTAAATGCCTGGGAAAAGCAATGCAAAGGGAAGAAGGATTGGCTTGGGCTCATGGCTTTACAGGTCTGAGTCCACCATCACTGGCTCCATGGCTACAGGAAGTGGAAAGAGCGCAACAGTGGTGGGGAAAGTGGCCCAGCAGAGATGTTCATTCCAGGATGGCTGGGAAGAGGTATGTGTGTGGGGGGGGGAGACAGGGAGAGGACCACGGACAAGGTGTACTCTTCAAAGGTGGGGCTGCAGTGGCCCACTTCTCTCAGCTACACCTCACTTCTTCAAAGGTTCCATTACCTCCCAAAGTGGCATCACCAGCCAGTGACCAAACCTTAACCACATGAGCCTGAGGGCCATTTCCTATCCAAACCATGACTGGGCTGGTTAGGGTTTCCCGTAATACACTTAAGTCATGTGTGTACTGTTCTTAGGATTTTTGTCATGCCTAGGAACCGCTTAGACTCTTACATACTTAATATTTTCCTTATGACTCACTAAATTTATTTTATATATTTTTTTCATTCATAGATAGAAATCAGTTTGCACAAAAGGAGGTAATAGGAAAATAAGCATAGGCCGGGCGGTGGTGGCGCACGCCTTTAATCCCAGCACTCGGGAGGCAGAGGCAGGCGGATCTCTGTGAGTTCCTGGCCAGCCTGGTCTACAGAGCTAGTTCCAGGACAGGCTCCAAAGCCACAGAGAAACCCTGTCTCGAAAAACCAAAAAAAAAAAGACAAAAGAAAAAAGAAAGGAAAATAAGCATAACAGAAAAAAAAATCTTCCTATTGTTTTCTAGCTGAATGTTGCCACTCCTTGAAGGTTCTAGGCTTTGTGTACATGTCTCTATCTATACTCAGGAGGAAGACCCAGAAGGGTCAGAAGCTACATTTAGGCCAGCCTAGGACTCACCAGGTCCCATCTTAATTTAAAAAATAAAGTCTAGCACAGAAGGAGTGATGGGATTACCCATGGGGTAGCAGGCATCCCCTGAGATTCTGGGAAGGCAGTGCCAGTACCACTGGAGTTTCAGATCTCCGCTCCTTTATATGGTTCTGGGTGACCCTACTGATGGTGCCAATGAATCTTCTGTCCCTTAGTTCCCAGGGAGCCAGACATTTCAATCCCCCCTCTAACGTGCACACAGGCATAGAGCTGGTCAGGCAGTGAGAAAACCGGAGTGTGCTGGTTAGCTCACCTGGCTCCCAACAGTGAGATTCTCTAGCCCTCTGGTCCAAGGGTATGTGCCACAGCTAAAATCCTCTCATACAGGTGGCTGGGGATGTGCTACAGTTCTTGCCTGGCATGGGACCCTGGGTTCAAGTTCTAGCATTTAAATAACACAAAATAAAAACACCCTAAAATGTGCATCAGTGGCAGCAGCCAGATCCATACAGAAGCATCAAGGAAGATGACTATACCATTCAAGCTATATTTTCACAGCCAGGCTGCCTCACGGCCACAGAAAAAAAGCCACGTGTCTTCTCTGACCGCAGTGGCCAATTCTGTCTTTACATACTAAAAGAATCAAACTAGAGAGAAGATAAATCCTAATCCTACTTTGCATTGAAGTTTCAGGGTTTTTTAAGTAGTGGTAACTGAAAGAAAACTCCCTGCAGAATTGCTATAAAGTGGTTCTTCAAAAAGTGGAATCAAGGTACAGATGATTTTAGCTACAGCATTTCTAGAATAATAAAAATGAGTCCGAGGGGACTAGTGGGAAAACCTCTAACTTTCTTCTTTAATAAGTCTGATTTGCCCTTCCTTATTGAGGGTTATGTTTTTTTAAATTTATTTATTTCTTTATTAATTAATTAAAGATTTCTGTCTCTTCCCCACCGCTGCCTCCCCTTTCCCTCTCCCTCCCCCAATCAAGTCCCCCTCCCTCGTCAGCCCAAAGAGCAGAAGAATTTTTTTTTTTTTTTATTTCACGATGCAGAGTTGGAGGACTTGCGGCCTTTGTCACTCCTAGAAAACATCGTACAAAGCACACTGTTGCCTCAATAGCCAGGCAATTAAGTAGCTTTGAGAATGAGTGAACACGCATTAAGTGATGGTCTTGCTCTTTCCTTTTGGGTACTGCGTGGAAGTCAGCCCTGCTCACACCTCTCATGGCTGAAGTCAGAATGAGAAAGGAATGAGTGTCTGAGTCAAAAACAAAACAGATTTAAAATTCTGAAATTAGAGTAAGTCATTTTTCTGTGTTGACATCTCAAAGAACGAATCTAATTTTGGACTAGAATATCTTGGAAATGAAGCGTCAGGGATGAGCCTTGAGTTCCCTTTCTGCTATGCAGTGATATTGATGATTAGAAGAAATTACCATGCCCCTTTGCTACCCACATGGCTATCTCTCAAACTCTAGGCACCCCATAAGCTCCTATCTACAATGTCCTTTTCTGTCAGTAATAAAAAGCTACATGTAAGCTGGATAGTGGTGGCTCTCACCTTTAATTCCAGCACTAGGGAAGTAGGTAGGGGCAGGTGGATCTCTGTGAGTTCGAGATCAGCCTAGTCTACAGAGCAAGTTTTAGGACAACTGGGGCTACACAGAGGAACCCTGTCTCAACTGCTCCCCCAACAAAAGAAAGAAAATTAAATTTAGAGTAAGTTTACAGTATTGGGGAGTGTGAGTACTGATGGGGTGCTGAGTAAACTTACAAAATGGGCCTCTGAATTATGCTAGGGTCTTAGATGGGCTGTTGTGTCTATAGACACTGCTGGTTAGGCGGTTTTGAAAGATTTGTTGAAGAGTTCTGCTAAATTGGGTTTTAAGATACAGGGCTAATTCCACCACATGTACTGGACAAAGTTGGACAAACCCACTTACTTCTGGGATAAGAGAACCTAGTGCCCAGAGGACAATTAGATGCTGTGGTGATATGAACATAATTGGCTCCCATAAGCTCACAGGGTGTAGCCCTGTCAATTAGGAGGTTTGGCCTTGTTGGAGTAGGTATAGCCTTGTTGGAGAAAGTGTGACACTGTGGGGGTGGGTTTTGAGGTCTCATATGCTCAAGCTATGCTTTGTTGTGGACAGACTCCTTCCTGTTGCCTGCAGATCAAGATGTAGGATTCTCAGCTCCTTCTCCAGTGCTGTGTCTGCCTCCATACTGCCCTGTCTTGCCTGATGATAATGGACTAAACCTCTGAACTGTAAGTCACCCCAATTAAATGTTTTCCTTTATAAGAGTTGCCATGGTCATGGCACAGCAAAAGGAACTCTAACTAAGACAGATGCCCATTTATTACAACCCATGATTGCTCAACTTGGTATTGTTGGTAATGATGCCATACTAGTTAGATGGGGGTACTTGGAGGAGTTGGAGATGGAGGCTTCTGGATTTTCAGTTGAGTAGTTTTTTTTTTTTTGAGGGGGAATAAAGGGGTAAGGAGTTAGTCATCTAGGAAATCAAGCTGCCTCATCCATTGTACAAAGGCAAATTATTCCAAAGCCATCTATGTATCACCTACCCATCTATCCAAAATAGTAATGATTCTTTCTCTTTGGGCATTCTTTTAGGTCCTAGGGATATGAGAGGGAAAGATGTCATCTGTGTCTTCAGGAAGCAGGCAGTTACAGAATGCAATGCCTTCCTACTGGAAGTCTGTTCCGATTCATGTGGGCACTGGGAGAATACGTGTTGAGAGCTGGTGGGACACTCAGCCAATCTGTGTTGAGAACTGGTGGGACACACAGCAAACCTGACCCCTGGGATGTCTTAGAGCAAAGGAGCATCATTCCTTCCTCTCTGTCCTTCCTTCTCAAGATTACTGGCAGGGTCTGGAGAGATGACTCAACAGTTAAGAGCACTGGCTGCTCTTCCAGAGGACCCGGGTTCAATTCCCAGCACCCACATGGCAGCTCGCAACTGTCTGTAGTTCCTATTCCAGCGGATCCAATGCCATCATGTAGACATACATGCAGGAAAAACACCAATGTACATAAAATAAAAATAAATAAATAAATAATTTTAAAAGAATATTGTCTACTATTTTTTTATTAATCATTCATTTATTTCATTTAATTTTTTAGATTTATTAATTTTTTTAACCTTCGTGCTTAGACTTTAGAATCAGCCTGAACCTGTGGAAGGTGATGGGTGTTGTACTTCTCCTGGAGGGAAAGGAGCAATCCTCACTGTTCCATTCCTGGCTCTAGCATTTGAGTCTTTTCTCTTTTTTCTTGATAGGTTGGCTAAAGTTTTTTCAAGTTGGTTGATACCTTCAAAGACCCAACCTTTGATTTCATTGATTTTTTCCTGTTACTTTTGAAAGCTGGGATTCAGTCATTTTCACCATAATCTTTCTTCCTCCTCATGCTGCTTTGGTTTCATCTGCTCCTTTTCTAGCTCTGCTGTCTTCTCAAGAGAGAAGTTTAAGTCATCAATGTTTAGATATTCTTTTAAGGTATTTTTAAAAAAAATATGTGTACGAGTATTTGTCTGCATGTATGCATGTGTACCACATATGTGCCCAAGGAAGACAGAGGGTGTTGGATCCCTTGGAACAGCAGCTATAGATGGTTGTGGGTACTGGGAACCAGACCACAAGAGCTGGATCATCTCTCCATCCCCTTGATTGTTGAAAGATTAGTTTTGTTCTCTATTTTCAAGATTTATTTATTTATGTGTATGCTTCAGTGTATAGATACTCAGGAGGTTGGGAGTCATCACATGGACGTTTGGAGGCAAAGCAAGAGAAGTAGGTGCCTTTAGCCCCCAAGTCACCTCTCTCTGGCCCTACACCTTGTGAAGGAGCCGTCTATAAGGACAAAGTTCCCTCTCAGTAGCTTCAGCTCTGTCCTCTAAGGTTCTGCAGACTGTAGATTCGATTCGTTTTTATTTTTCAACTCAAAATGTTTTCGAATTTCCCTCATGGTTTTGCTTATTGGCCATTTTTAAGTCGGGAGAGTGTTGACTTCTAAACCCATATGGCTTGTTCAAGTCTGTTTTTGCTACTTATTTTTAATGTCATTTCATCAAAGTCCAAGAACATTTTGTGTGTCATTTCAATCTTCTTAGAAGTTCTGCGATCCAGTATAGGAGCTAGCATATGGTGTACCTCAGTCTGCTTAAGAATGCATCTCCTGTCGTCTTGGGGAGTAGAGTTCTGTACAGATGTCTGTCAGGGATAGCGGTTCCGAGTGTTCTCTGTGTCTCCTAGCTCCTTACTGATCCCCTGCTTAGGCCGTTTTATACATAACGTATAGGGACATATGTAAGTACTTAAAGAATATTATTATTTTGAGCTATCCTCGGATTTATTGAAAACATTCCAGAACAGATTCGGATGGTGCCACATGGCATTCTGAAATTCTTCCCAACTGTAGGCAGAGTGACCTGCAGGTGGGAGATGCTGTGGCAAACCAGAAGCTTCAAGCATTTCCTTAGTGTCGGGTCTACCCCAGTGATCTGCTGACCTGGGGATGAGACCTTAGGAACATACTTATCCTTTCTCCCCTCTCTCCCTCCTGCAACTTGATTGAGCCAGGGCTCCCAGGACCTATCCGAATCCGCCTCATCAGCCGCGTGACATTGCCTGCTAGCTTGTCATAGAACTTCTATGCTGGGGAGCATGGCGATCTCCACGTACACGTGATTGTTGGTGTGGAACTCCTTAACCAGGTGCATGCATTACTTCTTGATGATGGTCCAGGCTGCCTTCTGCACAGTGCTGGGGTAGCTTCATAGCCTTGGAGTGGATGTGGCCCATGTCGGCGAATCCTGGTGAAGGAGAAACATAGCCATTTTTATCATGTTGCCTGTTTTTTTTTTTTTTTTTCAATTTTGTCAGCTATTGCTTCTTACATTTTAGGCTCTCTTGTTAGGTTCATATATGTTTATAGTTGCTTATTTTCTTGCTGCATCAGACCTGATATTCTTTTTTTTTTTTTAAAGTTATTTATTTATTTTACATGTGTGCCTGCAGGCCAGAAGAGGGCACCAGATTTTTTTACAGATGGTTGTGAGCCACCATGTGGTTGCTGGGAATTGAACTCAGGACCTCTGGAAGAATAACCAGTGTTCTTACCCTCTGAGCCATCTCTCCAGCCCCAGACCTGATATTCTTATTGAAAAGGTCCTCTTTGTGCCTAGAGACTGCCTGTCTTAGTCTGTGAATGGCACTACCACCCCTGGCAACTGTAACCTAACGCACAAGTGCAGCCATGATCCTCAGCACTAACGGCTTGCTCCACAGCTTTCTGAATCAGCCATTTCAAGTTAAGCATATGGAAGCATTCAAAACATACTCTGATAAGCTCATACTCCCGAGGAGAGCCTCTCTCTTACATGTTTTCTCTTAGTGCTTGCTGTATTTGAAGTGTTTTTAGGCTTCTGTTCTCCTAAACTAGCTCTGTTGGTTCAAAATGAAGTATTTGAGAGAATCTCTTATAAAATGCGAGCCCTCACACAGATTTGAATATATCCATTTTTTTTAATCTAACAAGTAATTTTCAGGAAAAATAGCCTAGTACTCAAGCATATGTCGGCTTCAGCTGAATATACGGTTTTCATTCTACACCATAAAAATTAATCTAGCCATATACCATGGCATGTATACTCCTCCGGTTTCCTGGTGTTTTGAAACTGTCCAGCCCAGGGTCTTGGATCTTACCAGTGAAGTCTTGGAGTAGTTCACGGCACGCAGCTAGACTTGTAAGCGGGTGGTCAGGCACCTAAAAGGCCATTGTCTGGGTTTCATGGCTCACAGTTAGACATGTAAGCGGGTGGTCAGGCACCTGAAGGCCATTGGCTGGGTGTGCTGGCCTCCTTCACTCCATTCAGCATGGTCAGATAACCAACAGGGGATCCTTAGACGCAAAAGAAACGCTGTTTTGTTCTTCATAGAATTCCTTATTTTTCAGACACCAAGAATGTTGAGTCATTGGGATGGTGTCATCCTCCCAGGCCTTCTGATCTGGGTCATTGGCTCTGTACCATTCAGAAGCATTTTCAGAGACATGTTTTTAGGAAAAAAAAAAGGCCATCTTTATAACCAAACCACACACATACACACACATACACACACACACCCATACATGTACATGCATACACGCATGCACATGGCACCTGATGTTCTCCATGGAGTCTAGAATCCTAGGAGGGAGTGACAGGGGCCAAGATATTCTCTTGTCACATAGTTAATGATTGCATTCCCATGGAAATGTGGCTGGGACCAAGGATGATAGTTTTTTTTTTTTTTTAAAATGTGTGTGTCCAAATGTGATTGAGAAAGGTACATTTTGGAAAGCCAGACCATCTGGCTTTGAAGCATGCATCGAAAGCGAGAGTGCCATCAGCGTTGTCAGCTGTGTCCTGTGTTCAGGACTTCTGAGTTGCCGTCTCTTGTTCTCTTTCTGCTTCTCTCTTACCCCTGGCTAACACTATCTGCTTTTAGGACATTGAATAACGAATAAAAGTGTTTGACCTTGACTAGAAAACCTCCGGAAATTCAAAGAAACAAGATGTGTGCGTGCTGGAGGCTGTGACTTGGCAGATGGATGCAGGCTCAGTACGTGTGACTCCCTGAGATAACCCCAGTCCTGATGTAAATGGTCTGGCTTCAGATCTGTGTTTGAAGAGCAGTCTCTCTGATAAAGGTCTCCAGAGAAACAGCAGGCTTCTTCAGGAAGCCCTGGTCTTCCTGGTTCTGGAGACACAGCAAGGCCACCTTGACAGCCATTCCTCAATTGCTAACATTCCTGTCTCTGGGGCCCAGAACTCCACAAATGAGAACTGACTCACAGCACCTCCAGTGGCGGAGCAGATGGCAGCCGAAAGAATGGTGCTGTGTAGACTCAAGGAGGAATCGAAGCGCCTACCTTTGAGGAGGCTACAATGGTGCTGCCATGAGCCGTTACCCTCTGGGACCACAGCCTGCAGACGTTTTCCTTGGCTGTTATGAGACCTAGGACTCAGCTTTGGACAAGCTGGGCAAGGGTTCTGGTCCCATGGAGCATCCTCTTTGTTAGTTTGTAGAAGGTGGGCAGTAAATGAGAAAGCAGAGCTAGGCACACATCACAGACCCAGCTGGGAAGAAGGGCACAGGGAGACTCCCGTGGAGCCGACACTCAACTCCCTCCATTTCCAGGACCATTTGGGTGGGAAGCCATGACCCCTCCTGGGTATTGGTCTCCTAACAATTCTGGGAAAGCAGCTCTCTGACTCAGCCGTGGGAAAAGTCTGACAGCTTGGCTGCCCAGGAATTGACGATAACCAGGGCCTTTGGGGTTCAGCTACCTGGAAAGTTGAAACCAGCAACACAAAGCTCTGAATGTCACCGTTTTGACACAGGGGTGCTGACTCCAGGAAATAGCAGGACTCTTGTTTGCTCTGGTTTCTCTGCTCAGCCTGGACTTCATCAGGTTGGGCCAAAGGTTATAGGATTGATTTTTTAGCGGAAAGAGTTACAGTAAAACAACAACAACAGCAACAACAACAAGGGGACTGGACTGTTTTAACACTCAAATTTCTTTTTAAGGTGACATTCTATGGTTAGTTTAGGATCAGGGCTCCTGATGTGGCCCTGGGTTTGTGAGGAGCGCAGAGCTCATCCTAAACAGGTTGTTGGCTCAGATTACAGATTTTTGAGTCAACCTTTAAAAATGTGAGGTTTGACCTTAAAAAAAAAAAAACCCCAGATTTCTGGTATTGCTTGGAAAAGCTGGAGAACTGTCCGCGAAGGCTGGCTTCCTACATGGTACCACTACCTAGCAACAAGAAGCAGCAGCTTCCTCTAAAGGTGGTCGCTACAGTTCATCCGAATCTATCCAGTGCAGCGCACTCATCGTGGCCACCTGCTCTGCCATCGCAGGTGTTTGAGTATTCGGACATGCTGTTGAATTGCCCGTCCTTGACAGCCCCATCACAGTGTCAATTTGAAAAGCAAAGGTAGCGGTGAATCTTGTACTCTAGAGCTGAAAAGACATTTCAGGAATCAGGCCCACCCTTGCCCAAATCAAATCCAAAGAGGACCCTAGCCCATGGTCGTGTCTTCTCGGTGGCATTGGTGACGAACTGCTCATATGTAGACATCCCATAGCAGCCGTTTACACCAAGCTGAGTCCAGAGCAACCGAAGAAAGCATTCCTGTATTCTGAAGACATTTCCATCTTAATGTATTGGAAGGCAGAAAAGAAAGTGATGAGGGGGTCTATGTTCTCTCAGGCCTGGGCGCATTTCATCTTAAAAACCTGGTGCACTGTCTTGTTGATCTGTGCTCCGCAGTGAGGGTAAAATCTCCAGAAGAACTTTTAGCCCTTTGGACAGGAGTCTGGTTGGGGATGGCCTGGGAGGAAACGCTCTCTTATCTCCTCAGGCACCGGGAAGGAGGAAGCTCCAGAGACTTGTGAAAACGTGAATCATTCCTTGCTCACACAGGGTCCCCTTTGACTTTGGAGTCTGGACTGACATCATTCCACTTTGGCTTCCAGATCAAGAAAATGGTCTCTATGCTGCCATGGTAAAGCTTCAGGTGCTGGGGACCTGGTATAACCCCAAGAAGATGATATGTGCTGCCCTCTTATTAGCTCTGACAGAGTCGGGCTTGGCTCAGTCATTCAGATGGTCACCGTCTAATGTCACGTTTAGTTTTCAAACAACCTCACCAATGGGGCAACCGTTACCATCCACAGCTGACAAATGAGGAAACCGAGGCACCCACAACCGATAGGTCAAAGCTGGGGAGTGTGCCTTGTTCCCAGAGATCTCACTACTATATCTTACTTCAAGTCAGATCTTGAGGCAAAACACACGCACATTCTGACGTTCTCAGTACTAATGCAAACAGACAGGGCATCCCGTTTCCTAACAGGCGAGAGCCGCACTCCTCAATATGGTACTCACCGGTCACATGGTGCCGCTTAAATCTTAAATCATTAAACTTACTGAAATTAAAAATATAGATCTTAGCCACACTGTAGACATGTGCCGTAAACTGCAAAGCCGCAAGGCACTGCATCCCACCGTCCATTTCGGGCACTTAAGATACAGACCGCTAGAGTATCCCATAGAAAGGGGATGGGAAAGCAGTGTGGCAGATGAAGGACCAGAGAGGCGAAAACTCTTCAACCAGAGACCCAGTTTTTGAAAAGCACAGAGTTCAGCTGTCGCATCTAACTCTTTCCCTGACTTCCTGTTCCTGCTTCCCGCACAACTCTTCTTCTGCAACTAGAGGCCACCTCTGCCTGGGGCAGGTCGCTTATCTTTGGTTTCACCCATGCTCTCTGCTCTGAGGGCTGGTGCGTGACGATCAGTTGATGGCTATCAGGAACTGCACACTCACTCGGCCTGCAGGAATCTTAAACAGAGACGCAGTCGCAGTCCAGAGTATGGTCCTTGGGCAGTTTATGCAAACTCGGACCCTGAGTGGGATCACCCGCAAAGGGGGTCTTTGACCTCGCAAGGTCTGTAAGTGTCTGCACAAAGGTCCTGGCGAAGACTCCATAGCCACGGCTCTACTCATTACCTCGCCGTAAATCACTTCAGTGTCATCGCCACTGTCCTGGGGTGATGCTCCTAAGGCCACGCTTCTGGGTACCTCCTGGTCATTGCTGCATCCTTCAGGTTAGCTCGCAGGATGATAAGTTCTGGAAGAAAAAAAAAAAAACAAGGAGGAGTTTGGCCTCTGAAAAAAAATTGCTATAAGTTTTATGGTTTATATACCTGCCCCCTTCTTTTGATCGGGTCTTTTTTTTTTTATTTTAATGTGAGATCTCACTATATATGTGGTCGTGCTTCACTTGGAACTCATTGTGTAGATCTGTGTAGATCAGGCTGATCTTGAACTCACAGCACGCCTCTGTCTCTGGAGTACCAGTATTAAAAGTGTGTACCCCATTGCTGGCTTGGGGGAAATCCATTTCAAGCCCTTTGTGGGTGCCTAAAACTGGGATCGAATGGAGCTCCAAAGAGTCTGCCTAGCCCTGTGATAAAGTCTCATCTATAGGTTAATGTGGTAAAGAATAACTCATGGGACAGGCCAGCTGTAATGACGCAGGGTAATCCAAGGTGTGTGAACGAGCTCTCTGCCCGCTCCCCCTGACTGTACTGCACACATCCTTCTGCCTAACGGGATGCCCACATGATGGGATGAAGTGACACGGCCTTGCACTCTGTGTGAGGGCCATTCCAGCACAAGTGCTGAGATGTCCTCTTAGGGGATGTGATGAGCTAGGTGACCACGTGGCTAGCCAACAGGTATTAGATACAGCCAGGATAGCTGATTCCTTTTATGGGCTATGATAAACTAGATGACCATGTGGCTAGCCACAGGATTAGATAGAGCAAGGAGCGCTGAGATGTCCCCTTAGTGGATGTGGTGAGCTAAGTGACCATGTGGCTAGCCAACCGGATTAGATAGAGCAAGGAGAGCTGGTCTGAGGATGATTCATGAGTATCAGGCAGCGGCGAGGTTTCCTCCAATCAGAAAGGCATGCCACTTAAAACTTGCGAGAGTTTTCTTTCTAGAATTTTCCTTTTGAAATTTGATCACGGGTAACTGAAACCACAGAAAGCAAAAGTGGCAGCCAAGGGGAGTGCGGTCTAGTGGGGTGTTCCCATCGGAAGCACAAATCTCCAGTAGTAAGTGCCTTTGTCATGCTAGTCTGGATGCTGCTTGTACACCCAGCAACGGGGAACTTATTACCTGGGACAGTGCTTGGCAGCTTGGAGCTCCTTGTTAAACTGACAGTCACGAGTGTCTGGCTGAGCCACAGACAGAAAGGGTCCTGAACTTTGGACCATCCTTCCACGCCACTCAGCCATCCGAATCTCTTGGACACTGTAGAAACAGGGCAGTGCAAATTGTGTCTCCAGCTAACTTTGTGAAGTTGCACGACTATCACTGGGGCTGGGGGGCGGTGGGGAGAGGTGGAAAGTGAGCCGAGAGAATCTGGCTATTAAACACATTACCTGCATTTATGGCTCTCGTGCCCCAAGGCCTGGGATAAATCGGAGAAGGAAAAACATTCCACTCTGGCTCTCAGTGACCCCTGAAGGAAGCCCCCCGTGGAGTCATTTAGGATAGTAATTTGAGCATAGACTCCAGCGTGTGTTCCGAGCCTTCCCTCCATAAACTCGGGAGCCTCATGATAATCGGCACCAAAGTGCTTGAAAATGTGGCCCAGAACCCTTCCAGATGAGGGTCGGGCTCAAAGAAATAAAAAGTTAAGGGCACGTTGCTATGGCATTAACGTTGAGGGAGTGTGCAAGGACTTCAAACTGTGCTCTGAAAGTGTGTTCTTTCCGCGTGCCCTGCCCATGAAACGCTAAGCCAGCAAAACCATTAAAATGTCAGACAGGGAGCCAGGTGGAAGAAATGCATGTTTAATAGTAAACATGTAACCCATGGTAATTGTGTCCCTTGAAAAGTTAAAGATGGGGGAGAGAGAGGAATTGAGAAGAAAGCAAGCTGGGGAGCTGCTGGGCTCCTTCTGCCCTATGCCGGCAGGCAGGCCTCCTTACTCAGCAAAGCTCACAAAACCGTCCCCACTCCTTCCCTTCATTAGTGCTCTGCAGCAAATTACCAACAAGTCCCGAGTCCCAACTTGCTTCCAAAATATTAGGTTGAAGCCGGGTGATGGTGGCGCACGCCTTTAATCACAGCACTCGGGAGGCAGAGGCAGGCGGATCTCTGTGAGTTCGAGACCAGCCTGGTCTATAGTGCTAGTTCCAGGACAGGCTCCAAAGCCACAGAGAAACCCTGTCTCAAAAAACTAAGAAAAAAAAATTAGGTTGAGTTATACAAAGTAGCCAACATTACAGCTTCTCGGGTCTATGAAAAGTGTCGACTATGTGGCTCAACCTAATCATAGCTCAGACTAGATCACTTGTCCATCCCCAGTGCCACCATCTGGGTGCAAGTGGCCTTGTTCTCTTACACAACGAGTTCAGGCTCCTATCACATACACAGGCATGTGCCACTGTGAGGGAGAGACGGGTCTGGAGAGACGGGTCTGGAGAAGGTGGCGTTCTGGTTTCCAGTTCCGTCCTCTGAACTGGAAGGAACAGATTTCTTGGCTGGGTGATGGCACACACTTTTAATCTCAGAACTTGAGAGGCAGAGGCAAGTGGATCTCTGTGAGTTCTAGGCCAGTCTGGTTTACAGAGCTCAATCTTGGGATGGTCTCACTCTGATTTAAAGATGGCAAATGTCTCTGTGGTAGTTTGAAAGAAAATGGCCCCTAAAGGGAATGGCACTCTTAAGAGGTGTGGCCTTGTTAGAGAAAGTGTATCACTGTGGAGGCAGGCTTTGAGATCTTATATGCTCAAGATACCACTCAGAGTCTCAGTCTACTTCCTGCTGCCTGCATATTAACATGTTACGGCTCCTTTTCCAGCACCATGTCTGCCTGCATGACACCATGCTCCCTACCATGATGATAATAGACTAAACCATTGAAACCCTAAGCTAGGACTTCAATTACATGTTTTCTTTTAAAAGAGTTGCCATGGTCACGGTGTCTTTTCACAACAATAGATTTCTATTGCTAACTGAGACAGTCACATTATGCTTGGAGTATAAAAATCCATTGTACAATTTCCCTAGCTCTTACATTCTTGTTGTCTCCCTTTCTGCAATGTTTGATGAGGCTTGGAGAGAATGATATAGATGCTCCATCTAGGACTAAACATTCAATAGTCAGTTACTCTTAACACTTTGACCACTTAGCAATCTCTACAGAAACTAATTTCCTCTCCAAAAAGAAGCCAGTGTGAATAGCAACAATGGAACAATAATCTATGGGAAAAACACGAATGTTTAGAAGGAAATTTGATAGGCATGTTGCATCCACTCAAGAAAACAATATTTGCTTCCCCTTAGGGTTTATCACCTCTTTAACCAAGGACGTTTGCCCTGGTTTATAGTACTAGACACAAGCTTTCTCTGTGGAGTAGGTCTTGAATCCAAAAAGCAGTTGGTTACACTTGTAACTATTGTGCCAATATTGCAAGGGAACAATTTCATCTGGAATGTTGATGGTTCAGTACTCAGGGTCCACACTTAACTATTGATTACAAATCCCTCTTAGCAGTTTACATAGTGTCTTTTGGCACTAACAATGCCAGTCACCAGGGAGGACTTAGTCACCTTAGTCCCAGTTTGATTTGTTTCATATTTTAAAATCACATCCCCCTCGTGTGTGTGTGTGTGTGTGTGTGCGCATGCACATTTGTAGAAGTCAGAGGAGTTACATTTTCCTTCTACCATGTGTGTTCCAGAGACAGACCCCAGCTTGTCAGAATCAGAGGAAGGAACTGAAAACCAGAATGCCACTTTCTCCAGACCCGTCTCTCCCTCACAGTGGCACTTGCCTGCATATGCAGCAGGAGCCTGTACTCATTGTGTAAGATTGTTAGAAGCAACCACCTTTATGTACTGAGCCATCTCACTGTCCGCTAGTTTGATTTCTTCATGTCTTTCAGCCAAAGCATGTGATGTCTTCAGCAATAGGTCTTGTTATCTAGTTCTGGCATGCAACTGATAGTAGTGGTAATAGCCTTCATGGTTTGTGGCCTCTCTGGCCATTAGCTTATGTCAGTAAGGAACTTAGGCACTGGGGTTTGGTGTTTTCCCCCAACAGTCTTGTGGCTCCTGGAAAATGCCTTCTGCCCACACAGTGTCAAGTGTGCTTTATTTAAAACCCTTCAATTTTTTTTTTAAATGTTCTTGTGGATCTTTCCAAAGATCTGTAAGACAGTCAAGAGTTAGCACTACAGGAGAATAGTGGGTGAATCTATCTATCTATCTATCATATAGATAATATAGATAATAAAACATAGTCTAAAGAATTCTTAAAGAATTAATAAAAATATTTTTAAAAGCAGCTAGCATTACATAATGAAACCTTTTTACAGAGAGTAGGCAGGATCTCTGAGAGCTCATTGGCCCATTCCAAACAAATGCTAATTGGTCTTCGGAGGCTAAGGGGATACTAACGTAAAACATTAGTAAGCACTAAGACAGCATGGAAAAAATCCTATCCCTTGTATCAATTGTGTCCTTAAAAGACACTACCTGCATCCATGTTCTCCATGACCCATCTGGCTTTCTCATCGTGGAGTGCTGTCTTGGGGTTGCCATGCGTCTCCCCATTCCTCACAGACTTAGCAGGAATAACTTTTACTATGTGGCCTGGCCCAGGGCCAAGGGGAATAAAACTACTCTGCTGGAATTGATTCCCGGGGTCTGACAGGCTTTGGCTGTCACCATGGCTGCCACCTCTCCTGAAAAGGTTGCAAGCAGGGTGAGGTCTCCGCCCCTAGTACACTTTCCTGCTGAGAGAAAGGTGCATGGCTCTGCTGAGGAGGGAGCTCACTGGCCACCCCTGGGACAAGCCTGACCTTTCTCATTCTGTCATTCATTCCTTCCACTCATTTGGCTAATGGTTGCCGAGACCCTAGAGGCTCATCTGTAGGGTATTTGGCCTTCTAGTAAACTTCCTGGAGGATGCTGACCCAACACAAGTCTCGCTACATTTGAATGACCTGGACAGACCCTTTTCCTGCTTTTCCTTTCTGTCATCTCCCCCCAATGATCTATGCCTTGCTGTGGTGGTTTGAATGGAATGATCCCCATAGACTCATGTGCTTGAACGCTTGACCCATAGGGAATGGCACTCTTAGGAGGTGAGGAGTAGGTGTGGCCTTGTGGGAAGAAGTGTGTCACTGTAGAGGATGGCTTTGAGGTCTCATATGCTCAAGCTACGCCCATTTGACAGTGTCTTCTTCAGCTGCCTGCAGATCAAGATGTACAACTCTCAGTTCCTTCTCTGGTACCTATCTGCCTTCAGGCTGCCATGTTTCTGGTCATGAGGATAATGGACTAAAGCTCTGAGCTACAAGCCAGCCCCAGTGAAGGGTTTTCCTTTTTAAAAGTTGCTGTGGTCATGGTGTCTCTTCACAGCAAGAGAAACGCTAACTAAGACACTTACTAACCCAATTGCACAGAGATCTAAGCCGTTCAGATATGCCAGGAGTCTCCTTCCTTATAGAGAATATTGGCCCATGACAAGGCTCAGCAGAGTCACTGAAGCTTCATATCAGAGGTCCCAAGATGCTTGCTGACTTTTCAGTTCTCCTGTGAACTCAACTGTACAAGTCCAATTAATGGGGCATCAAACACTACTTCTCCTGTAGCCTGTTTGCTTAGTAATACTTGTCCTTTCTGACACTCAAAGGGACTTCGGAAGGTGGTAACCAGATGGAACAGTCCATTGGGGTTTGTGCAAGACTCTTTCATATCATATGTGGAAATCTTTTCCAGGCCAGTGAAATGGTTCAGTGGGTAAAAGTTGCCTGTGTTCAAGCCCAAGGATGGGTTCGATTTCCAGGACCCATTTAAGAGTAGGAGAGAACTGACTCCCACAAGTTGGCCTCTGATTTCTACATGTGCGGTGGTGTATGTGAACCCAGACACACAGGTAAACAAGTGCGTGTGCACACACGCACACACACACTCACACACTCACACACATACACACACACAAACTCACAGAGGCACACATACACAGAGGTACACATACATACAGAAACACACACACATGTACACACACACACAAACTCACAGAGGCACACATACACAGAGGTACACATACATACAGAAGCACACACACACACACACACACACACACACACACACACACACACCTTTAAAACCTTACCTAATTCAGAAGCAGTTCAGAGGCCGAGTATTCCCTCATTACCATAGTTACCTATGCTTGGCTCTGTCTGCATGCT